CTGGCACTTACTACAAAAAATCATTTGTGAAAATTTGGTGAACTTAGCTCAATTAGTTTTTGAGTTATCGTTCGGACGGACGGACGGACGGACGGACGGACAGACAAAGCTAAATCAACTCAGAATTCGACGCTGATCAAAAACATACACTTGAGTCTATATCTAACACCGTTATTTCTTAGCGTTACAAACGGTAAGGCAAATTTAGTATACCCTTCGAACATACGTTCGTACGGGTATAAAAAAAAAATAGAGTTGACCTTGTCAACTCTGTGATACCCGTACGAATTTGTTATCCTATGTGCGAATAACTAATGTGCCATAACTAACTATGGGGCAGACTATGACTTTAAGTTGCCGTATTACCATATTAATTTATGCAAAATTTCAGTACTATGTGTTATTCAAAAAACTGGTTGTGCCAAACTACTATTGATGTTGTATGGCAGCTACCAGAAAGACCCAAGAAATTTTACCGAATTTTATCAAGCACATCGGCCCTACTAATATACTCACTTATGTGAAATCTCAATATCACAGCTTTTATAGTTTCTGAGATATAGTCAAATAACTTTTGAAGTTGTATGGCAGGTACCAGAAGGAGCCAAGTAATTTCAACGACTTTTATGAGACACATTGGCCCTACTAATATATTCGTTTTTGTGAAATTTCAATACCATAGCTTTAATAGTTTCTGAAATATAGTCAAATAACTTTTGAAGTTGTATGGCAAGTACCAGAAGGAGCCAAGTAATTTCAACGACTTTTATGGGGCATATTGGCCCTACTAATATATTCGTTTGTGTGAAATTTCAATACCATAGCTTTTATAGTTTCTGAGATATAGCCAAATAAATTTTGAAGTTGTATGGCAGCTACCCGAACCGGTACCCCGATCATGTCCAATTTAAATAGGGTTCTGGCACTTACTACAAAAAATCATTTGTGAAAATTTGGTGAACTTAGCTCAATTAGTTTTTGAGTTATCGTTCGGACGGACGGACGGACGGACGGACAGACAAAGCTAAATCAACTCAGAATTCGACGCTGATCAAAAACATACACTTGAGTCTATATCTAACACCGTTATTTCTTAGCGTTACAAACGGTAAGGCAAATTTAGTATACCCTTCGAACATACGTTCGTACGGGTATAAAAATGAGTGTTGAATAAAGAGATCCTTTTTTTAAAAGCTTGTTTTTTATCTAGCATAGCTATACGATATATAAAGTGGCTTTTAAAGAAAACAAAAAAAAAAAAAAACCGTACTTTATACTAGGTATAGTAAATTTTTTATAAGTACATAACAATACTTAAACTTTTTAATATTATGTATATGCATCTCAATGTGAATACAATATATAGTATATATCATATGCATATACGCTATATTAGATATTATATAAATATAAAACTGTAATGGAATAAAATAACTTAAACCGAATTGATCTTATAAGGCTTTTCTTTAAATAATACTTAAAAATATTTAAGTCAAAAATTAATTATACAAGAAGATAAATTATTGAATATTAGTTAAATCAGATTATAAAGTGATTATAGTATAACAATTTGCTTATAGATCAAAAGAGCTTCTTACTAGAAAATTTTATGAGAGATAGCGATAAAAATGTTTTAATAAATATGAAAATTACATAGTTTCTTAGAGATTTAGTTGGTAATTTTAGAGTATAAGTGCTTACATGCTTAAATTTGGCATCATATTAAAAATATTTCATATTACTTTCTGTATTGTTTAAGTTATTATATTGGTAAATTTATTTAAATAAAGTCCAGGTCAACATATAGAATTATTGTTTATATAGGCACTTTTTTATGAACATGTTTAACTTAAAATGTGTTGAATATTATGTAATTCGATAATAAATTATACATAATATGTTAAATTGCATATATAGGTCTGCCTAAATTATATAGCCTACAAAGAATGTACATATAAACATATGTTATTAATTTCAAAACTGTTATACAATTTATTTAACAGATAACTGATCATAACATAACATGTCTGTTATACTGTTAAGGACGTTTTCTTGTATAACAAAAATTTTTTATTTACATAATTCTGTAACTTATATACTGGTATACAATTAAATTTTATCAAATAAAAAAATTTGTTTGTTTACCCACTTAAATATAAAAACAATTTAATGCAGACAATTTAAATGAGGAAAATCTCAATTTTATATAATTAAATATTGAAATTTAATATATTATGTATAATTACTATTAAAAATAATGGGATCATAATTACTTCATAAAACATATTATTTATATATAATTAAAAAGAATTTTAAAATAAAACAGAAAATTGGATGAGGAACTTGCATACTCGTATATTATGTATAAGATTGTTATACATTGTTATGTAACAAGAAACTTATTATTATAAATTTTTTTTTGCTCTTATTTATACAAAAAAATCTTAAAATTAGTATGTAATTAGTACAAAATTATAAAAATCTAAAATATTTTTTACTATATTCGAAAAAAAATTGAATAAAGCTTTAAAATATTGAAATTTGACAACATTGCAATTTTTTCAAATTCAAAATTTTCAAATGAATTTTTAAAGGAATTTATTTGAACTAAAAAATTAAATATTCAGTAATTTAGAATTCAGAAAAGTTAGAATAAAAAATTTTTACAACTTTCCTAGAAAAAAAGTAAAATATGTGTAAACAGGTAAAACTGAATCTCATTTTCACCTTAAGTGCTTTAAGGTTTTGCTAACAAAAACCTTAAAGTATGCAATTGTTTTATAAGATATTTTATAAGTATATGCAGGCATTTTATCATTTTTTATCTTTTCTTATCAAATAAATAAAATTTAAGCACATATGGGAAATGGTAAATTATGCATGGGACAAAAGATCTCTCGAAGAATTTGTACACCTCGAGTGATCTCTCAAAATACCCTATTCTAAACCGTTTCTTTTTTCTCAAATTTGTGATAATAGATTTTGCTTAATTTTTTCCCAACTGGCAAGTTCTAAATTCCATTTCGTTTTCCTTTTGATATATCGTCTCTCAAATTTACCAAAGTTACAAGTTCCGACCTATTATCTCTTCCTAACTATTATTAGTTTATCGAAATTATCTTCTGACCGACAATCAAAATTAAACATTTCTTATTAAATTAACCAATGTTAGTACAGCTTTTTAACAAACCTCCTAAATGTATGCAACAAGATTTGATTAAAAATAAGTGATTTAAATAAAACATTGCACTTACAGTTTTCAAGAGTCAGGTTGTTAATAATGAACTTTTACATAAAAATATTAAAATTCTAATAATCAAGCACAATAGTACCAGTGAAATTTGTGGTATTTTGGTATTTTCAGTCTCATGAATATAGATGTCTCTCTCATGAATAAACACATTTATCACATCTATATACACCAATCTTATAAAATTATTTCAGTTTTTCATTTTTATTAACACAGACGAATCAGTATGTATGTGTATGTGTTTATTTAAGAAAAATGTTTGTTGAAAATAAATCAAATATTTGCTTTTACTTTCTTTTTCACATGTCATACCATACATAATTTTCTTTTTATCACTTTAAGCCAATTACTTTTACCACCATCCATTCCATACTAGATGTATTGTATATTAATTCTGCATAAGCATATTTACAATACAATAACATAAGAAAGTTTTTGAAGCATGTACATTATATATATACAAGTAGATGAATATGTATAATAGTACACACAATATTTTATATAGTAATTTTATAGAAAAATATTGAAAAATGGTGACAAAGGAATAAATATGTTTACAAAATGATTTGAAACTTTTTTTTAGTACAATAAACCTGTTCTTTTTCTCTTAGCTGTAGAAATTTAATGAAAATGAATTGTTTATACACAGATAGTAGAACATTTTGTCGTTCTTTATTATATTTTAATTACATACACCTATTATACAACAAACGCATCGAACTCAAACTTGTCTTCGTATTAAATGTGTCAAATAATGCTTTCATTAATCCCTCTATATATTAAATTATCAACAGATCCCATGCCATAGAATTCCTATACTAACTATAGATGGAAACATATGGCCGTAACAGTTTTGCAACGTATCTAATCATACAGTGGGCGTAAATTTTTAAATTGAATTGTTGTAATCACTCAAACATAATTTTTTTAGTTTTTGAAACATGAATTTTTTCCACTAGCTGTTAAGCCAATGATATGTGATTTAATTTAATTTTTTCTTTTGCCTTCCTACTTATATTTTTAGACCTCAGGCAGCTTAACATTTCGGAACATTTTGAAATTTCGAAATCCTTATTTCGAAATATTAGTCATAAGTTCGAATTTAGCTTATAAACCAAGACAAAATCAGAAAAAAATTTAATAAATTTTTCACAAGATACCGAGACATTGTTTGACAAAGAGTTATTCCTTTACAAAAGTACTATCACTGTATATCCTTTTAAAATATTAATTTTATTCCTTTTACATACTTGTTTACATTTTATATAAAAACAAAATTTGACTTTGCAGTTTTTTATTTGATTGATGTCACAAACAAAGGTACACAATAAGAAAATTTGATAATAAAATTTTATATCACGCAAAAATTTTAACGAGTCATTGTTAAGCATTATGATTTCATTTATATTTTGTAAAGGTGTATTTAATTTAGGAATAAATAAATAAATATGAAAATAAATATTGAAAATTCTAATTAAAAATTACATGATTGAAGTATAAAGGTGCGAGATTACGTATGAATAAAGGCTAAAATTATTAGATTGAAAATTTGGTATTTTTTGCTTTAATTTCATTAATACACCAAAATTAAATTTTTATAAATGAGTATACACCTTAAAGACAGGTGTTATCTTAACTTTAAAACCAATTCAGTTTAGACTTATTAATTGTTAAAATTTACTTTCTATTTATTTCATTTAATATCATTAATATTTTTTTTACTTACACACATTATTTCTTTTCTTTATAGGTAATAACTCCAACTCGTTCGCTCGTATTGTGTGCAGAATCACGCCGTGAAATGGAAGACTGGTTATCAGCACTTAAAACTGCATCTTCTCGTGAATATTTTGAATCAGGCTTGGAACAACATGACTTTCTGTCAAATCATCATCATTGGTATGCGACATCGCATGCTAGACCAACATACTGTAACGTATGTCGTGATGCCTTATCGGGAGTAACTTCTCACGGTTTATCATGCGAAGTATGCAAATGCAAAGTACACAAAAGATGCGCAGCAAAAGCAATTGCAAATTGCAAATGGACAACTTTGGCAACAGTGGGAAAGGATATTATCGAAGACAAAGATGGCAGTATTATTATGCCACATCAATGGATGGAAGGAAATTTGCCTGTTGCATCAATATGTTCAATATGCAAGAAAACTTGTGGATCTGTGCTACGTCTACAAGATTGGAGATGTTTATGGTGTCGGGCAACTGTACATACAGCATGCCGGCCACAAATGCCTGTACAATGTCCATTGGGACCAGCTAAAGTTTCTGTTGTACCGCCAACTAGTGTACATTCGATTGGTATCGATGAAGCCTGGGATGTTATTAGTCCTAAAGGAAATTTTTCTCCTTTATTAGTTTTCGTTAATTCAAAATCTGGTGACAATCAAGGTGTAAAATTTTTAAGACGCTTCAAACAATTATTAAATCCGGCACAGGTATTTGATTTAATATCAACCGGGCCTAGTTTAGGTTTAAGATTATTTCGACATTTCGAACTATTTCGTATATTAGTGTGCTCGGGGGATGGTTCTGTTGGCTGGGTATTAAGTGAAATCGATCGTTTTGATATGCATGTAAGTATCATATGTGTATGATACATCACATCTTATGAATTTTAATCAACTTTATGCAAAATTTATTTCAGAAGCAATGTCAGGTGGCAGTCCTACCTCTTGGAACTGGAAATGATTTGGCACGTGTACTTGGTTGGGGTTCGTCATGCGATGACGATGCGCATTTACCACAAATTTTAGAACGTTATGAAACAGCGAGTGTAAAAATGCTAGATCGTTGGAGTATAATGGTATTCGAAAAAGCAATACCTGTAAAAACACCGAAAATGTCATTACAAAATCCACAAGAAGTTTTATTAACTGGTTTTGTGGAATCGGCGAATTGGCATTTACAATCAATTGTTGAAGCTGATGATTTCCAAGTGGTAGTTAAATCAACGAATATATTATGTGAAACTGTAAACGACTTATTAAATAAAATATGCGAAAATAAACGTGATGATGAAGGCTTACAACTAAAATGTGATATTTTACGTCAAAAATTAAGTATGCTATTTGAAGCATTAAAAGAATGTGAATCCGGTGAATATGGTGGCGATGATCTAGTACAAACACTAAATAATTTAACAGCAAGACGCCGCAGTTCTGTTCATTTACGCAGAGCATCAATTGATTTATTGTACGTTAATATTTTTATTCTAGTTTTTCTTTTTGTGCAATTTTATATGCATTATGTAATAAGCTTTTATAATATATTTAGAGTTTTTTTCCTTATTATTTTGACTATAAATTAAATCAACAAATAAATGAAAAGGACGAAGTGTATGATAAATGGATAAATGTAATCTTCTGGAAAATTAAAAAATTATAATAAATTTTCTTTTCCACTTTAGATGAACTTACGAAACCATATGGAATTTTCCATACACTTATACGTTTGTCTTAAGCGAATAAAAATTTTGTCCCTGATGAAGTAACATAAAATTTAAATTTATAAATTATTTTCACATACACACGATGTGACGCAGTTTCGTCTGTTTATCAAATACAAAATAACTATTTTTTAAACCCCCATTATAAAATTATAATATTGATGAAATCATATTAAATTTTTGTGGTTATTTTTTTAACCTGCTATTACCTGATTTTTTTTTTAAAAATAAAAAATGCTACTCTGTACACGAGTATTTTTCAGATATTAAAAATATAAAGGGATTATTTTTTGAACAGATTAATTATCCTTTCGACTAAAATAAATTTAAAAACTTTAAAAATATTAACTAAAATTTTTTCTTATTAAATGTATTCTTATTTCTTAGACTATCCAATTCCCCACAAACGCTTCTTAATCCGCCTTCAATGGAAAAAAATGAAAAAGACAAATTGAATTCGAAGGAAAGACGTAATAGTCGTGCCTTACGTTCCACGGAGAAGGAAGCATTACATAGTCGTGCTAATAGTATAAAACGTGCAATTTATAGTGTTGTTGAGCATGGAGAGCAAGGGCGACCAAAACGTTATCAAAGAAAATTATCAATCACACCATTTGAAGCATTAAAAATTAATCAAGCATCATCTCATGAAACATCTCCTTGTACATCACCGCACCCTATACCGCCTATTAATATTATATCACCATCTGTGTCTACAACTCGCTTAACATGCATATCTCCCTATCCAGAAACTGACCGTAGAGAATCAGTAGAGGATGCTTTTTTTACAAGTTTAAATATTCCAGTACCATCTCAATTTGCAGATAGTCGAAGAAGTTCTGGCGTTCCAGAAACTGTAAAGGAAATTGAAGAAAACGGGAAATATTTACTAAACGAAGATAATCTTATACAATCAACTGAAGATGGAACTCGCAATCGTACAATCACTAAAAATGATTCGGAAGATACAACGGCTCCTACCGATGTTACATTAAGTTCTGAAAAACAGCCTCGTTTTTTACATGTACCAATTATACCTAACATTATCGAGCCTCCTGTAGATCCTTTGGGTGCCTTTAGACCAATTGAAGTATTCGAAAGAAATTTATACATGAACTATGATAGTGAGTCACAGGTTCTTAAATATGAAACAACAACTACAAGTACAACTGTAACATCGGTAGATGGAGATGGAGATACTGAATTATCAACAACATTACAGGTACCAAAATTATTGTCCCCGATTCCCATTACGAATGTTAATAACACTAGTAGTTGTGGTGGTGGTGTTGAAATTAATAATTTACAAAGCAATAATATATACACAAGTGAAGCAATTACTATTATTGACACAGATCTTATACCAGTAAATTTAAAATATATATTTATGATATTGCTAACAGTTATTAATGAAATAATTTTTTTAATGTTTTTTAGGAACAATCATCATCCGAGGAAATTCAAGGTGAAGCTAGTGATATTATTTCTGGAATGAGCAATGAAGAATTTAGCATGCAGTCAGAAATTGTAGAAAAACAAAATACTGAATCATATCACCATGGAAATGAGTTATCACAACATACTACATTCCATGTGGCAGATATTATTCAAGTAAATTTGAAGAAAAGTATATTAATATAAGAATAGCATTTTTAAATTGAAAATATTTTAGGATCCCTCGACAGATCGTTTAACTCACATTGATTCTCCAGAAACCAGTGATGAAACAGAAGCAATGCAAGGCGAAAGTTTAATGGATGATATCAGTTCAGTACTTGCTCATGATATGATTGGAGCTCTGCAAGACAACACAATTACAGAAGATACAACAACTATTTGTTCCGGAGAAATTATAAAGGCCCACAAAAAATTATCAATTAGAAGAAAATCATCTCCACCGCGAATCATTCGAATGGATAGCGATGAAAATCCGGCACAATTTGGATTTGAAAATATAGTTTTTGAAATAGACAATCGTTGCGAAGACCGAAAATTAAGACAAGAACCAATTCGTTATTGTAGTTTAGCTAAATTTGTTGAAGGCAACGATATAGCTCGTAAAAGTTTCAAAGTACTTATCTTTATGAAAGCTTGTTTATATGTAAATATTAATATTCTAAATTTAAATTTATTTTAGAAAGCACATCGAAGTAAATCTGTTGGTTATGTTAAACCAATTTTAAAAACTGAAGAAGATGATAGCAATAAGAAACCAATTATATCATCACCTATTACAATTCAACTACAGGGTTCTCATTCAGATCTCTCGGAAACAGAAACAATTATACACTCGGTTCCTCATCGAAAGGAATCATCTCCAAGACAATTAATTAATCCTGAAGTTAAAAGAATAACATTCGATGAGTCCTGTAAAAAGGAGTCATTAGACGATGAAGACCCTAAGAATCCAGGTATAAGTGTAATCGTCAGACCGCCAACACCATTACGGGGTGATAAAATAAATCCACTAGCGACATTAACTGTAAAACCAGTTGAAATACGTAGGCATTCAAGTCATTCCCCCAGCTTAACTGTTAAAGAATATGATAAAGAATTGGATAGACGACATTCTGGTGCAACACCAAATTTATTGACACTAGACCCAGAGCATGCACGTTTTTTAAGTTGCTCTCCAGCAGCAACTAGAAGAATAAGTTGTGGAAGTCTCTTTAAGGTTAGTAGTTTAAGATATGAAATGACTAGCGCATTTTTGTACTCGTAAAATAATCATATCATTTTTATCTGTAGCTAAATGAAGGGATACCTACTATAGGACTTGGTGGATCAAAATCCAGTCTTTTCATGGGATCAAGGCCAAGTATATTTGGTGGTGATTCTAAAGATCATGATAGCAAAGAGGATAAATACAAGGATAAGAATGAACCAAGGAACAAAAAAATGCCAATTATTAATCCACTTGTTCGACTACCAGCGTGGCCAAGTAAGTAAAATCATTCCCATCTGAAACATACAAAGTGTTAATGCAAAACGAAAAGTCAAAAACTTTAAAAGAAAAATTCAGTAGAATTTTTAATTTCTTTTTTATATCTGTCTACTTTTTTGGAACATGTCATTTTCGCACATGCTATAATTTGTTTGTTTCTTTATTCTAAAATTTAAAGTTAACTCTAATTTTAATTTGAAACAAAAATACAAAAATCAAAGCATAAAATTTATTTTCGAAACAAAAAAAAATGCTTTATGATCAATTAATTAAAAACAAATCAAAAAGTTGCGAATGCACTCTGTATGTTTTCAAACCTTGAACCATATTTCTAGATATAACCGGAGGTACTGGTTTCATATCAAAATGTTTGCTGGCAAATGCAGATACTCTATGTGCAGCTGTGAGCCCACTAATGGATCCAGATGAGACACTCTTAGAAGGATATCATGAAAAATGTGTGATGAACAACTATTTTGGAATTGGAATTGATGCAAAAATATCACTAGATTTCCATAACAAACGTGAAGAACACCCAGAGAAATGTCGTTCAAGAGCTAAAAATTATATGTGGTACGGTGTATTAGGATCAAAGCAGCTTTTGCAAAAGACCTACAAAAATTTGGAACAAAGAGTTCAGCTAGAATGCGATGGTCAAAGAATACCCTTACCATCGTTACAAGGAATTGTTGTTTTAAATATACCAAGGTAAAAACTTTCAGTTGCTACATAAATATGCATCATGAAATTGGAATTGTTTTGTGCATATTTTGTTGCCTACCTAATAATGTGATAGTGCTTGTATACTCTCAAAATTCTAATTTATAGAAATTTCCTACTTTTTAATATTTTTATTTTGTTTTTAATAAAAAAAAAATAATTGGTTGTTCTTACCTTCTTTATAATTTTACTTGTATTTTCCATGTTCCCATAATATTTCAAAATTATTAAATGTGTCCCTCCTTCAGTTTTATCAGTAGCAACCGAATGTTTATTTTAAATTCTACTTAAAAACTTGATCTTTTACAGTCTGCTTTTATTAGTGTAGTTTTAAGTAATTATTCACTTTTAGCTATTTGTTTTATTTATATAAATCAGCGTAATATGTAATAATGTATTGTGGTTAATAATAGCAGCAATAATAAATGTGAGCTTATTAGCACTTATGCCTCTATTTTAACTACCACAGCGTGTGTCAACATATTTTTTCGAAGCGGAACTTTTACTGACAAAATTTTAATAATTTATTTGTTTCATAAACTGGTGGAAATTCCGTTTTACTTTCGATTTTGAATAATTTAAACTACTTCATGCAATTTGAATTAAATTGAAAATGGACATTATGTTTATTTGGCATGTATTGTTGAAAACGAAATTGACCGAGCGTGCGAAAGTACATGGCGGCATCTATTAAAAATATTTTTATATACATACTTACTTTTCATTTAAAAATTTTTTTACATAATATATATTACATAGTATTTTATTATTGAATATGAATAAATATTTTAGCATTCTAAATGTGATACAGTATTTTAAACTATTTCTCTTTAAATTTAAAATAGTTTTATGGGTGGTACTAATTTTTGGGGTGGTACCAAACAAGATGATATATTTTTGGCACCATGTTTTGACGATCGTATTCTTGAAGTTGTAGCAGTTTTTGGCTCTGTTCAAATGGCAGCCTCTCGCCTTATTAATTTACAACATCATCGAATCGCACAATGTCAAAGTGTTCAAATTAATATACTCGGTGATGAAGAAGTACCAATTCAAGTTGATGGTGAAGCATGGTTACAACCACCAGGAATGATACGTATAATACATAAAAATCGTATACAAATGTTATGTAGAAACCGATCTTTAGAAATATCATTAAGACAATGGCAAGATAAGCAACGTGCTCATAGTATATCAATACAACGTGATCAACCATCAACTATTTCTGATTTAGGTAGTTCAATAAGCGGTGGAACTGAAGATTTATTCTCAGAACAAGAAAGTTATATTTTATTGAATTTTATTGAAGCAGTTAGCTCATTAGTTAAATGGGTTAAATTCTTAATAATATCACATCCATCCTTTGAACCAGGTTTATATGAAATAGCATGTAAAACAGCTGATACATTGGAAGCACTACATCCAAATGGTAAACTAATAGAGGGTCCAGATTTACGTATTAAATTAGCGATTGTTGTTGATACATCGAAACATTTATATTTAGAAGCTTGTTCTCTTTTACGTGATCGAGGGCAAAGCTTAGTATTACGTGAAGATTTAGAATCAAAATTAAGTTTATCGTTAGCTAATATGGAAATGGAATTACGAAGATGTATAATACAAAAATGTGCTGATGGTAAAACTAGAGTATTTTTCAATGTTTTAGCACCACCGGAAGAGGTAAAAAAAATTTTTGGTTTTACAATATATAATTTGAATATTAAACTTTTTTTTTAATCATTTTCATATTTTAACAAAAAAATTAATTAAATACCTAATATTATTTTCTTGTAACATTTTTTTTTAAATTTTAGCCTGATACCCGTAAAAAATCTAAACCATTCTGGTTACGTTTCCGTGGTGGAACTGCAGCTGGTGGAAGTGGATCACAACTTAAATCGATAACAAATACAAGAGATTCTGTTAATAATTGGGGTGTTAATGAAGTTGTTACATGGTTAGAAACTATGCAATTATCTGAATATGTTGAAAGTTTCATGAAAAATGATGTACGTGGCAAAGAATTATTAACGTTAGGGCGACGAGATTTAAAAGATTTAGGTGTAGTTAAAGTTGGACATGTTAAACGTATATTACAAGCAATTAAAGATTTAGGAGAAAATTAATTTTAATTAAAAAAACTGAACTAAAAAATAAAGCAAATATAAGTTCAAATATTTTATTTATTTTATTTAAATTTTTAATTAAATCTTTATAATTATATACGTGTATAATAAATTTAAATATATTATTGAAATCAAAACAATCATTCAATTTAATTTTAGTTTATTTTAAGATTAAAAGAAAATTTAACTAATTAAAAAATCAAAAATTTGTGTACAATTCCACCGAGTATCTTTGAAATAATAATTATGAAAGGCAATATAATATTATATTACAAAAAGAAATAAAAAACAAAATTGTATTAAATAAAGAAATAAAAATATCCAATGAAATAAGATTGATTAATTATTAAGATTTCATGTTAATTGTTTTCTATTTTATATTTATTAATTTTCAATAAAAAATTTGTATTTTGTATATGTATTTATATTAAAATTGTATAAATTTAATTATAACGAATAAATTATTTTACTCCTATGTTCTAATATTATAAAATTTCAATTCGTCTAAATTATTAAATACTATATATATATAGTTGTAATATGTATATAATAATAATTAAAATGATTGATGTTGTGATTCATAACATTTAAACTTAAAAAAAAAAACAAAATTACAAAATTAAATAAAAAATACGAATTTCAAAATCTAAAAACGTATATGAAATTGTATATAAAATTTATAAATTCATGTATTTCAACTTGTCAATATTTAATATATATATATATATATATATAATTTTAACTATAATTATAAAAGTTAACAATTAAAGTTAAAAATATAAGAAAATTAAAAACGAAAAACGCTAAAATTTTTTAACAGCGAAAAATTCAAAATTTTAAACTCGAATCAAAAATTCAATATAAAAAAATTTTTCTGTAATTAATTGAAAAGATTTCACTAATATTATATTCAATATATTATACAATTATATTTTTCAACAATAAAATGAACTTGTTACTTACATTATTCGAATTTTATCCTTATAATTTACCTTAGAACACCGCCATCTTAAATTTTCAATTCTTATACATAAATTTACTTAATAAAAATTTTCAAAATAAATTTTTATTATAATAAATAAAAATAATAAATAAAAATAAATAAACACATAAGGTAAATAATAAAATTATTTTTTAGTTTTTTTTGTAATTTTGTTAAATGCACTCACAAAAATATCGAACTTTAGAGCAAAAAAACACGAAAATTAAAAAAAAAAAACAAACCAACACACACAAATACAATTAAATTTAAATTAATTAACAATTAAATTAAAAATCGCATATATTAAACCTAAAATACCTAAAACCAAAGATTTATTATTAATAAATTGTTCAATTTTTGTAATTTAAATTAAATTTTACTTAAATAAATTTTAAAGAAACAAAAATTAAAAAATTTCAACAAAAAAATAAAAAAAAACAACAACGTAGAAATTATAAATAAAATTAATTAGAAAATTACTCGACCCTTTCGTAGGTTTTTAAAACGCACACCTTATTTAATTTTATAATCATATTCGTAAACTAAAAAAAAAAAAAAGAAAAATCAGATAAATTAAATTAAAAATTAAAATTATTTTATTCATTTTTATTTTAAATGCTCATTTTTTTCTTCATTTGTTAAAGCTATTAAATTAAAATTTAAATTAAGGAAATTTAAGAAAAATATATTTAGTATTACATGATATTAAGCAATTTGAAAAATTTAATAAATAAAAATTAAATTTCATTCATAAGAAGATGTAGGAGGAAACCAAAAATAAATATAATTAAATTTAATTCTGAGCATTTAAAATTGAAACGCAAAATAAAACGAAAAAAATAAAATAAATATTTTCATTTCCAAATGGCTGTGTATAGAGCATAACTTTTTAATTGTATATCTACTATATATTTTATTTATTATATCTAATTAACAATTAAGCTCAGTTATAATTAATTTTAAGTTTACAATTTAATTTTAAGTTTATAATTTAAAAATGTATTTTCTTCATGACTGACTATAATTGATTTAATTTTTAAACTTTTGATAATATTAAAATCTAATTTTCTATTTATTTGTGAAGTTTTGACAAGTACCAACGATTTGGCTGATAATTCATACAATATTTTGAAAATGACTTGGTACAGTTATAGGCTCAATTAAGTTATATAATTACATTAATGTAATAGGAATAAAATCTTTTTAATATATGACGTTCTTGTGATTATGTGATTCAAAGACTATTGAAATACTACGTATGTAAACAATAAATTGTAATCATAATGATTACAGTATAAAGGAATATTGAGAATAATTTGCTCCTAATTTCTTCATACGTATTGTAGTTCAGTTGGTAGAACCCGGTGGATTCACTGGGTTCGAATCCAGTTCGAAAAGAAAAAATTTTTAATCTTTTAGCATTGATAAAATTACAATATGCAGATATAAATAATAATTATAAAAATTTTTCGCATATAGTTGCTTCACTGACGTCATTGACTATCCCGAATTGCAAATTTTGCAGACAAACAAATTTTTAGCACTTTTCCAAAAAATTTTTTGAAAAAAGTGCTTATTAGTTTCACTCTGTCGTCCTCCGTCCGCCTACTCCGTCCGTCCGTCCGTCCGTCCGTGGACACTTTTTTTGTTTACAAAACTTCTACACCTTTTAAGATAGAAAGCTGAAATTTCATATGTACATAGATCTTCACTAGAAACTTATTTCCGTAGAACAAAATTTTTACCTATCTCCCCCCCTCTAGAAGTTATACCCCCCCAAAACCCTAAAAATGGCCTTTTTTAAATATTTGTTGCAATGAAACCATAAGCATTTTTGAAATTTTGCAAACGCAGAAAGGCAGTGGCTTGCTTCCCCTAGCGCGGTATACTACAGTTAAACTTTAGAAAAACAAAATGGCCGTTCAAATTTACCGTTATCTAAAGTTCTTTTTTTCTAAATTTTTGATGTCATTTTTCTTCTAGACCCCAGCCTGTAGAAGCTTGAAATTTTAGGAGCTTTTAGACATTAACAAATAGTTTATTTTGTTAGAAGAAAATTTTTTTCCATCTCCACCCCCTCTCAAGTTATCACCTCTTGAAATTCGTAAAATTTGAATTTTTGACACCTTATATTTCCGAAACCGCAAGCTTTTCCAAATTTTTATAAACGCAAAAAGCTAACGGTAAATTCCATGAAATTAAAAAATATAATTATTTTTCTTAACTCGCACAATTAACCCTTAAAATCGAGCATTATGTTAACTCCTTTTTATATTAATTTTTGCTTTATTTCAAAGACTGCATGAATGCATCATCCTAAATATATGCAATCCTAGAAATAGTTTCGTTTATGAATGAAAATAATTTTAATAGTGTGGTGGATATACATAGACTATTTTTAAAAGCAGTATTTTCACTTGTTGAAGGGAAAAGTGCTACAATGCAAACCATTGGTTTGACCCAACTTTATTTTTTTAAGAATAGCTCCCAATTTAAAAATATTTATTTTTCATGGATAGAATCTATATAATATCTATATATAGAGAATAAGAATTCATTATTAATATTTTTTATTTTAATTTTTATTATTTTTAAGTCAATTATAGTCAATATTCTTTAGATTTTACATAAAATATCTTTAAAAAAAAATTTATTAAAAATTAAACTTTGACTTTTTAAAAAGCAGTAATACACGATATTTTTAAACCATTCATCATTATATGAGTTGTAATTACTGGATATCAATACAGTATTATTGTAACTTTAAAGTAATCGAAATTTAATTTCTTATTTAATTACATATATTATATATAAATAGTATACATATTTTTAATAATATAATAACAGAATCAATTCTAATGAAACGCTCAGTCAAATATCTAATATGACATTAGCTATTTAAATAAACAAAAGAAAAGAAAATTAACTAGAAATTTTAAAAAATATTTAATAAAAAAAAAATATACGAACAATCATTTTTAAGTAAGAATTAAAAAAAAAAATCCATACATAAATAAATTAAAAAATATTATAGGACAAAAAATGTGTATTAAAAAAAAAATTCTACAAGACAAAATTATTGAAGAAAATTAAAATGTTATGTAAAATGCAGAGAAAACTTTCTTTTTTTAATTTGCAGTAATTATAATTTATGCTTTTTTTATATTTATGAATATGTTTCAGTAGTTATTTTTTTTAATTTAAGAAATTTTGATTAAATCTCATAATACTTGCATTTATATATTTTTTCTTAAACTACTAATAATATTAGAATATACAAAAATAATAATTTATTTACTTTATAAATTAAAAATAAAATTTAACACAGTTATAGATACATACATTAACTTTTAATTAAAAAAATTATTAGAATTCGGCTTCTATACTAATTAAAAAATCATAATATAAATCAAGTATTTACACGAGTAAAATCAAAATATTATAAAAAATTATAATATTATTTATTTTATTTAAATTTATTTTTTATTTAAAATTGAATAAATATAACAAAAAAGCAATGTTTTGTATCCTATTTAATTTAAATTTATAATTAAATTGTAATATAATAATTTTAAATATATTACTAAACAATTCTTTATACTCTTAAATTGAAAAAACAAAAAAAATTGATTTATGTCTAAACATTTCCTATATTTTATAAATTTTTAATTCATCATATTTATGACTACGAATTACATACTCGTATAAATATTCTAAAATTTAAAAAAAAATTAGAAATAAAAAATAAAAAAATTTTATTAAAATTGAAAATGATTCAAGCGACTTTATACCAAATAAATTTTTTTATAATATTTTCCATTAGCCCAAATATTTCATATGAAAAAGACAATCTTACCAAATTTCGCATTTATATTACTCGTATTCTCTTTTTAATAAAATTTATTTCGTAAATGATTTTAAGGTAACACTTACATAAATATTCATAAAAATAAAAAAAATAATGTAAAATTATGTTGTATTAATTTTTTTCGGTTTGCTTCAAGCCATTTTAAAACCACATTGTGTACGTCCGTTTAAAATGATGTTTTAACAATAATATTGTGCTTTTTTTATTGAATTTCATACTTAACATTTTTATTATTAAAAAATGTAATACATTCCAATTTTAATCAACAACTGTACCATTTAATATTAATCTTGTTTTCATACTCAATTTTATTATCCATACTACTTGTATTATAAAATTCAGTAAATTCATTTATATTCATTATTTATTTATAAATTTTATTTTATGAATATACTCTTAACATGAATATATTATTACATGTGAAATAATATAAGATTTTAATATTTTATATTGTTAGACATGTTTTACCTATACCTTAATTGTTGTGCCTTGATATAAAAAAATTATTAAATTTTTAATTGAATTCAATTTTTTTTTTTTTAAAAATACTAAATAATAAAATT